AACCACTATATGAAAAGAGGCACCATGAGGCTTTTTTGTATCACACCTTTGCTTAGGTTTGTACAGTCATAACCAGGAAAGAATAAAATATAGTAAGGTCAAAAACACTCTTAACAATATTAATATATTAAAAGATCCGAGAAGGAATGGTGGTAGAAAATAAATACAATCATCTATTTAGAAGCTCAATAGAGACTTTTCTTCTTAGAAGATTTCAGAGTACTGATCATTTTGCCAGGATCTGGTCAGCATATTAAACCAAATGTGGGCTGGGGATGTCTGCTGTGTGAGTCTAGATAAAGTATGTTACTGCCGGCATCTGTTATCACTTCCACAGTCTGGATACGTCTGAGCATCCAAAGCAGGCTTGGGTGGGCTCAGCCAGCTTGTGCGTCAAAAGCACAATACCTCTTTGTTAAGTGGCTGTTTACACACCGATCAGTCAGCCCGTGTCTTGTGCCAATTAATCACACTACTCCCTAGAAAAGTTTATGTTTAAAATTTCACTCATAGTCAAAGCTTAAAAGAGATAAACATTACAGAAAAATGACCAAATCCAACTCTCTGCCTCAAAAAATTATTAAGAATGCTTTAGTAACTGTAAATTTGTTATTAATGGTACATTTTTCAATGCAGACAGCATGTGAAAGAGAAATAAGGGAGTACTACTTTATATATGCTTTCTATTATTGAACTGTTTACTCTAAATAAAAACCTAGGTAAGTAAAAAAGTAATGTTAAAAATCAAATTTAACTAACAACATAAAATGAAAGTCAGATTTTGAGTCTTGTTATAAATCACAATTTGAGGATCTCATTCAAAAGCTTATCTGAAACTAGCTGCATCAAAATTCCATAGTAAACTAAAAGTACAAACTTGAACATAAATCAGGATGAACCAAAATATACATGCTATGGAAGTGACAAGTAAATTTTAGATTACTAAATGCTTTGGCAAGACATGACATTTATCAAATAAATGTTTCATGTAAGCCTGAAAAAAACAAAACAAGAAAATAGTTACATCAAATATAATTTTTTAACTAGCAATAACTGGTATTCAAGTAAAAACAGCTCAGGAGAACAACTTACAGAATACTAAGCATGAAATACTCATATCACAGCGTGAAAAAAAAAGAATTCCATCCTAGAATAGAAAAACTGTTATGTTTAGGTAAATAAATGCTAAACTACCAGAATTAACACAAAAAGAAAAAAAAACTAAACAGTATCCAACCAATCATTTTAAAAGTATTATTCTGATTTTGAATTTTAACCTTTCCTCTTTCTGTGTTGCTATCTAGATCAGCCATTTCAATGTTACAGGTTTTTCTCACACTTTCTAGAAGGCTACTATGTGCTAAGCACAGTACTGGCAGAAAACATCTTGAGTCTTGACTGTGTGATTATTCTTCATCAGGCCAACTGAAGATAATGGTTTTAACCAAACAGAATCAGAGTTGAACAGGCTGAACTATATAAGCCATTCACTGTACCCACCAAAGAGAGAGATTAAATCCAGTGTTCACTTTAGTTAGTGGTCAGCATGAGCAGCTCCATGACTCAGAGTTGCAAAGTGGCCAAGTGCCTGAATAGAGTCAGACTCAAGAAAAGGGAGACCCGGGTTTAAATTGTGGGTCTTGCTCTCACTGTGTGACCCAGAGGAAAGTACCTAATCTCTCTAAGTCTCACTGTTCCCACCTGAGAATGGGAGCAACAACATCTACAGCACCTCATTTTTGTAAACAATAAATGAGATAACATATATAAAGTACCTGCCATATGCTCCAAGCCCTGGTTTTACACCTTGACAAAAATGTATAATCAGATATTATATCATCTTCCTTTTAAAAAAGAAAATTAAAAAGATACATGATACTGGGATAGATTTACTCGATCCCAGTATACATCCGTTCCCAACATGCAAGGGGAGAAAAAGTGTAGCTGCACCCTTTAACAATTTTCTCAATTCAATTCAACTCAATGTTAGAGGGCAGAAAAGAGAAAAAAGACTAGACATTCTTCCCACCTTCATTGATTCACAACCTAAAAGCCCTTCATACCAAGTCATGGGTGCGATGCTGAAATCCAAAGAGTTCCTAAAATACAGTTTTTAAAGCGTTGCAATATATAAATTTGGTGGCAAAATCAGTCCTGAATTTGAACTGGCTAGATGCTTTATAGTTATTACTCCTGCGCTAAGTGTAAACATTTATGCATTCCAAGTCTCATTATGTGGTGAGGTCCCAAATCCCGCTGATGATGTGACCTAATATATGGCGGAATGCAGTAGCTTTGGAAAATGTAAAGTATTCCAAGTTCCAAAACACATGTAGCCCTAGGATTTCATAGAAGGAAATCTGAACAATTTCTGCTTAAGGAATCAAAGGGAGACAAGCAGTATAAAAGGGTACAGTGCCTGAGGTGGAAAGCTGTATTGAAGAATGTATTTCCTATCATTCTTAAGTTAGAATTTCCTTAGAACCCTTGGATGTGCTATAACATGGAAACAACACTACTTACATTACTATCTTCTTGGAAAAGCAAGTAAAAATACACATGAAATGCTTTAAACAATGATTGGCACAAAGTAAATACCAATAAATGCTGTGTAGTGGAAGTGCCTAGAAAAATACTTTGAACACATTCTAGGAAAAGGCAAACAGGTAAATATACAGTTCAGACAGTTAGCTGGCTATATACCATATTATATTTTGAAACTTCATTTTTAAAAATCCCAGAACTTTCTTTTTCCTCTGCCCAGAGGGACTTCTACTGTCAGAGCTCAGAGGCTCAGAGCAGTGTTAGTGCCAGTCCATGGAGGCAGGAGCAATCACAGTTGAACAAAGAAGCATCTGGAGCCAAAAGAACAAACTAAGACGTCAAGCTCTCCATGTAAAATATACTATTTGGAGAGAAATAAACTATGAAGAGCAACCTGGAGGGATGCTTCCAGAATTCAATGTACAAACTAATCAGAGTTTTTGTTAAAATGCAGACTCTAACTTGCTGTGGTGGGGCCAGATGTTCCACATTCCAGTTCTCAGGTAATCAGAGCACTGCTGGCCTGCACCGAGGGCAGGGCAGCCTCAGAGCGGCGGTCCTCAAAGCGCCCCAGAGACATCAGACTCTGCTGGGGACGATGAGAAATGCACACCCTAGAGCATAAGGAGACATTGGGAGACTGGTGATCTAAATCAGGCTGTCCCTGAGAATAAAAGTAGAACACTTCTAAAATACTTCAAAAATAAAAGGAGTATAGTAAGTCATGTTACCTAAATAAGAAAACCACTTTCTCTCTGCAACTGATTTCCAAAATTATAGCCCCTGCAACTACACTTACAATGTAGGCTTTGACATGATAAGAAGCCTGCTCTGCTAATGTAGAAGCAGAAGTGTATAAAATTCCCAGTTGAACCACTCACCAACTATTCACAAAATAGATCACTTCCATTCGACCTAGGTAACAGAAATATGACTTTGTAGAGACCAAACTGAGTTTTTTACTTTCTTGTGTTAAGACTGTAACCCAACCATGTCATGGTTTAGTCAACTTCTCCAGAGTAATGTTTATACATCTTTTGGCTCATATGTAAATATGTCAACATTTTGATTTATAGCTACAAGTGATCTGTTTACACACACGGATACACAGACACAAATTACAGTACATTAATGGTCTGAAACACAATATTCTTAAAGGACAAAAACTTGAGGCTAAGCTATAAATATAGAACGTCATGACCAGAGAAAAATTTTCATTTTCTGAATGTGAAGCCAATTAATTGTCAAATAGCTGGTTTTCCCAAAACTTTATAATAACCTGATGCATTCAGAATTAAGAATCAGGGGTGTTTTTTTCCACCTCAAAGTTTGAATTTACAAGTTCACCTCCCAAACGAGCTTACAAGTTCATCTCCCAAACAAGCTTACAAGTTCACCTCTCAAAACCTGAACACACAGTTTGGTCCTTAACCTGCTTTTGAAAAAGTCAGTTACTAAACCTTGTGAAACATAACACCTGCTTCAGAGTTGGGAGCGGCCCTCTGATTTCTGTTAGGACCATGTCTTTAAAGAGTGCTGCTGTCAGAAGACATCTCTGATTTCACACCACAGGGAGGGCAGGGAGGGGAGAGGCTTCTGTAACCTAGTGAGCAGAGGCCAGGCATGCGGCTCAACAACCCAGTGCAGGAAACAGACCCTCAACAAGGAATTACTACTCGGCCAAAAATGCAACTAATGCCAAGGTGAAGAAAGTTTGACTGGAGCGATGGAGGCTGCAAAAACACAGAATGAATGTGCTGTGTGTGTGTGTCGCCATGACATTCCCAGCACCGTGGGAAGCACAGTAATAACTAATTGTTGACTAGCAAATAAACCACCTCTGTGTAACTGGGACCTTAGAGTCATAGAGATGAAAAGGAATGAGAAAGGCATTACTACACATGTAATATCTAAAATTACAAAACAAAATTAGTCACTGTCAAAACTAGGAGGAAAAATGGAGACAACTGTAATTGAACAATAAAATGTTTTTAAAAGAAAACAAAAAAAAAATACCCCACTCAGTCCAATTTCTATATTTTGGTAAAAAATTATCTCCTACAAAAAATGTTATCTAATGCATTATTTTTACAGTGATGGGAGTATCAGTTCTCTTAATAGTAACAGTAAAATATAAAATCTTTATAAATACATTAAAATATCAGTTCTTACTTCTAATAGTGCAATGTCCTGTACTTTTTTCAAATTAATAAAGCATTTCCTTTATAAAAAGTAAAACAGAACCAATATGACATAAGTCATACATAATAAGTGATATTCCACAGGCGGGAAACAAAACAAAATGTAATTATTTTTCAAAAAAGCAAATCACAGACTTCCACAGCCTGCAGGCATTTATACTTCTGAGAATTTGGAGATCTAAAATGTCATGAGAAATTCTGAACTGGCTTACATTTTTGAAACACAGGAACTGAGAGTCACAAGGCCAAACATACCCTTAATAATCGATTCAGCTGCATACAAATCTCGTTTGTAGGTCACCTAAAGGACAGATAAACCTCATTAGACTTAACAGAGCAGGAAGGAATGTGCAAGCAATAAAATTATGCCCCCAAGGAAATTCTTGATTTTGGAGAAACTATAAACACATTAATACTGACAATTTCTAAATTACGACATCAGCAAATTCAGAATAATGTATTCTATTTCTATGAATGGTTCAAGATTTTTTTAATCTCTAAATAAATAGAGATACTATATGGAAGTGGTTACCAAAACCTTATTAGTGTAACTGAAGTATTAGATCAAAGAATATGTGATTGTATTGAAATAAAAGTTTTACCATTTTTGTTTAACAGTAAGGTCTTACTTTGAAAAGAAGAGAAGGTAAGTGTAACAAAAATCACCAAATTGCATTTTTAGTTGAAATGAGGAAATTCTCAAAGGTCAATTCACAGTAGGAAAGGAGTTCCTTCTGAATTGAGTGTAACTGTATACACTCAGGCAAGGTTCACCTTGTAAGGAGTTTATGGCTCTGATAAAAACAGCCTGGAAGGCACCACCATAAGAACAATCACAACCTTTCCTTACAAACATACAGCCTCCTTGCAACTATAACCTGCTCTTTGGAATGTAACAGAACCTGGTCCCATGGCAGGTACTTCCCAGGCCACATCCAGTGAACTTAGGTATAAAACATGTCAGGTGCATTGCACTGCAGAATTAGTTCAGTTCTCCTCTCTGACAGAACTGAAAATGTAGTAAATAATGAACTATACTAATAACACCAGGGTCTTAGGAACTCATCAATCAAGTGCCCAGATGATTCTGATGCTAATGGTCTAAACACCCACTTTGAAAAGTACTCATCAAATTAGTACCTGCCTATGCCTACTATTCAAACTTTTTTTCTCCAAATTATTTCATATCTAGACAAATTTTGTTCAGCTCAAGTGGCTCAGGATACTTCTACCCAAAATAGACTCCTGTGCTGTGCCTTTATCATAGCAGGTAAATCCTAGTCCAAAAGTACAGTCCAGAATTAAAATAGCAGTTAAGCCCTGGCTGGTGTGGCTCAGTGGATTGAGTGTTGACCTGGAAACCAATGGGTCACTGGTTCCATTCCCAGTCAGGGCACATGCCTGAGTTGTAGGCCAGGTCCCCAGTAGGGGGTCACGTGATAGACAACCATACATTGATGTTTCTCCCCCTCTCCTTCTCCCTCCCTTCCCTTCTCTCTAAAAATAAATAAATAAAATCTTTAAAAAAATAAAATAGCAGTTAATTTGTAAGACAGATGACAAGTTGTTCAAGCACTCAACTAATCTATTTAAATGAAATGTGACATGGCTACATTATCTCTAAAACCAGCACATGGCCAACCAAAACTAGTACTGTGTACAGTAGCTAATCCAAAGTGTAATTCCATTATCTGGAAATATATCAATAGCAAACAGACATTTAAAGGTCCGTGGTATGCATTTTACCAAATTAAAGAATGTATAGATCTCATTCATTCATTCAAGAAATATTTATCAAATAACTACTGTGTTCTAAGTTCTGTTCTAAGTGCTGGGAATACAGCAATCAAAAGAATGAGGAAAGCTTCACTTGTAACATTTTAGTGGAGAAATTTTTCTTACCTAATTTTTCTTATGTAATAAGAACCAAATAAGTTACAATGTTTGCAATTTAAATAAGAAAACACTTTTCTTCTATAACTGTCTGCTGTGTAGGGTAAACTCAGAAATTAATGGGAACATAGTTAATTACCATTATTCATTTTCATCCCTTCCTGCTTTGTTGAGGGATTAACACTGTACTCCAACTTAAAACAGAATTGTGAAAGTACCTTTTTTTTCAAATAAAACTTAATGATGGGTTTTTAAATTTTAAAAAAACTTGGTTTCAAAAACTAAAATGTTTTCTTCTAACATACTTGCAAGACAAGATTTTTATGCTGGAGTCAGTCTTAGGAATAAAATGCATGTTTTTATTACCCAAAGTTCCTTTCTTAACTGTATAAGCAAGAAAAACTCCTCAATTTCCTTTTCTGTCTACTTTTCCCTGTAGGCTCTGGACACCTACTGATATTCTGGTTAAAGATTTTGTACTTTATTAATATATTCAATATAAAGCTTTATTGAATATCTCCACTATAATTAAGCACTTTATACCCCTAAACACTGAATTAGTGAAACTAAACTACAAAATATTTCTGACAAACTTGTAAAGTACTGTGTTTAAAACACCTTATTTTTGTCCAAATAAAATATCTAACATATGTCAAAGGGGAAAGCACCAGGAAATGCAGTTCTCAATTGATGAATTACTCTCTTCCTGCCAAACTCTTACAGTAATATGGCTTACCCTTTCCTTATTTTAAATTTCAAAACACTTTAATAATCAGTTTTGAAGTTGACATTCTTCTGTCAGCACGTTCTACAGTTTTTCTTTGTCTTTATGCAATAGAATTTTTTAAAAAATCAGCCCTGCAGTGATGGAAGACAGCCTCAGTCCTCTGATTTACTGGTTCTCACACTGCGTGCATTACAGCCTCGGGGGCCACCTGCGGACCAGGGAGGTGCTCTGAGCAGCCGGGACTCTGAGCCCCACATCTGCCGCTCACACAGTGCAACTCAGTGGCTTTCTGTTTTGTCCCACTGCACTTCAGTGCAATATTTCATCCGAGTAAAATGGCTAGCTAACAGATATATTTTTTTTCAGTGAAGAAAACCCTAAAACCGTGAGCCACAAAGATAGTTTTCTTCCAACTCCTAGGCCAGGGCCATCGCAGCTACCTCAAGATGAGCTCCGAAAGACACAAAAACTGTCACACCTTCTTTGTGTTGCTCCATCTGTGTTGTCACTCAGTATCGCAAAGTAGACTTTTTAGAGCCAAGTGCAGCTGGCTACCGTCTGACATGAGTTAGCTGACGCTACACGCAATGTTCTCCCGTCTTTCACCTCAGGAGAAGATGAGCATGGAACTCCAATAATTAGGAGCCAGAAAATCTTAAATTTTAAATACATGGAATGTTTATTAGATACAAATTTAGATTGAGGGGAATTTATTACATTTATTCCCATTTCATCGATTGCATCTATGTTGAAAAGACTGGGTAACTAGATGAAAACTTCTAAAGAGAAATGATGCTGCCACAGTGTATGTATGAGGTTAAAGGGAAAAGGCCAAAAGTGAGACTGTTGTGTTTCTTTTATTCTTAATAAAGATGCTTTAATATTTGGATCTTTTAAAAAATGTAGTTCACATCAAAAGGAATCCTCAAAAGTCCCCCATTCTAGTAATATTGTGATGACTCGAACACTTCAGAAACTCTAAAGAAACACTTTCAGATTTCAGACCACGGGACAGAGTTGAATCTCTTAAATAACTGACTATAAATCTTTCATAAATCTGTCAAGCCTTGGGGATGATTTTAGCCTTTAGAAACAAGATGTCTGTTCAGTTAGGTCTGTAAGGTATAGTAAGGGGCCAAATTGTTCATTTTATTGGGACCAAAACCATGGTACCGTTATAAAGAAATGAAAGGTCTTCTGCAGACTAGGTGAGAACTCACCACAGTGAGTACATGTTCGCTCCAGCCGGGCAAGGCACCAGCACTGAGAAAGCAGGGGAGCAGGTAGCTGCTCCTGGGAGTCAGTCCTGTACTCCCTGCTGTGGCCGCTCTCTGGGGAGGCGGACGGTCATGCTCAGGATTGCCCTCTACCCTGCACGGTCATCTGAACAAACTGAGGCCCTGCAGTACCTACTGCAAGAGGGCTGGCATCGACTCTGAATGTTTACTGTTTTCTTCTACTTGTATAAAAAATTATGTAAAATACAAAACAATAACCCTCCTGGGATTTCTGGTGTCAGTTAGAATAGCAGTCCTGGTTATTCCTCACACACCTGGGGTGAACACCTTGACTTTCGAGAGGCAAGGGAAGGTGCCCTGGCTCTGGACTGTGGAATCTGCCCCTTGTCTTGCTGTTTCGTGGTAGTGACATGCCTCCTCAAATGCGTTTTTCACTGTGTCAGATTTCTGAATCACGTTCCAGGGATAGTACTTGGTTGCCAGCTGAGTCCAGTACCAGTTTTAGACTAATTATATGAAATCTGTCCTCAAACCTAAGTTTTTAAAACATGGTAGCACCTTTGGAATTATTATAGAATTAGAACACTAATGTCAAAGTGTGGATTCCATTGCTTTGGTTCAAAGGCAACTGAAATAATCTTTATCCACACAAAATAGTAAGACCACAAAATTAATTAAATTAGAAGCCTATACAAAAGACAACTCATACAATGTCATTACGAGAGGCTAAATAGGGCCAGGAATATATCAAATAAATAGCTCAGGCTAAATAAATAGCTAGGAAAATGTCCAAAGGATAAAGGTGGAAAATAATGAAAGACAGGAGGCAGAGAAGAGAATAGGGAACTAGAAACAAGTGCAATATTTATACTCAAAGTAATTTCACCTCACTTAACAGAAATAATGTGGTACCTAAAAAAGGCCTCATAACTGTCATGTGATAGGCATTTTGCCCAATCCATCACATTACATGTCCCTTCAGAGTCCAAGATCCTGTTAAGATACATGATTATTCAAATATCATTCATAAAAGGGTGGTTTCCCTGTCTCCCCCCCTGTTTAGAAAGTGATACCAAGAAGATGATTACTCTGGGCCTATGAGTGTGTCACCCTTTGGCCTGCACACGAGTTTCTTAGGGCTTTATAATATACCCAAACTGAGTGGCTTAAAGCAACAGAAACGTATTGTCTCACAACACTGGGTCACAACTGTGTAGATGTTCTTTCAACCCACTGAAGTCGGAGCTCCCACCCCAGGGCTACTGCGGAGAGCAGAGTTCCCTCCTCAAACCCAGTTGACAGTAAGGCAACAGAGGGAAAGGACACATACAGAGAACAAGAAAAAATGTGGATGAAACAATCTTACTGACTAAATGGAATTTGTTGGAATAAATTATGTCAAACTGAATTTTCTTATGACCAAGCTATAGAAATGATACTGTACTTTAATAGCTCAGAAAACCCAGTGGGACTCTTTTAATTCCCATGTTATATGCAGACAAAAACACACACACATACCTTTTCTCCCAGAAATATTGTTTCAGTATGAAACCTAGTATTTCTATGCTACTTCTCCATTTCCTAAAGCCCTGGAAAGTGTACTTGCGCCGTATGTCTTTAAGAATGGCATAAGCATGAATAAGACCCAGAACAATGTACCAACTCCATTACCTTCCAGAGATCCGGTGATCCTTCCACAAGTTTGGCTTTAACATGACAATATTTTAGAGCCAACTGCAAACACTCAGTTCCAAATTCCAGGTCGTAGTCACTACACTGAGTAATAACAGAAAAAGAGTTGACAAATTAATATATAATTTTAAATGAAACTAAGCATAATCAATTGAACTGAGAAAAGGAAGAGCCCAGAGTCCCAAGCTCTTTAATTCGCTACCGATCATTCAAGTTTCAGAATAATTTCCCCTATGCCCTAAAAGCCAGTAGAAAACAGGAATGTTGCAATTATAAGAGTCTCAAACTTCCTCCATTGTTTCAGGTGGCAGATGAACATAATACTTAATTTCCTTTACTCATAAGCTCCCTTTCCAAACATATTTCTAAAATGCCTGAAGGGATGGCTAAGGATTACCATATTATAATTTGATTTAACAAAATATATATTCATAAAACTTCAAATCCTCTACCTTGCATTTATATCAATTTATATTTATATCATAACTCTATTATTCACCTTAATATTTTAAATACAACATATGTTTTTTAAGGGATTTATATTTTGAATGTAAAACTGGACACAGTTTTGTAAAGGTCTCTCATTGATTTAGCAAAATATAAATACAATTTTTAAGCTTATTAAGCAGAACCATTAAAATGACCAACAAAATACAAATCAGCTGAATGATACTGAGTGCCTTATTATGTCCAAGCTTTATATGAAGTGCCAGCATATAAATATAAATGAGACATATATTGTGTCTTCAAGGAACTCAAGTCTAGAAGGAGGGGCTGATTTATAACAAATATTTTACAACACAATGTGATAGATGCAGCAGTAGAAGAACATCCAGAAGCAGGCCAGGGGATAAAATACAGAATGCTATGGGAGGACTTCCAGGAAGGCCTGGCGGAGGATATGGTCTCTGATCTCATTTTAAAGACTGAACAAGACTAGAGAAAACAGATACCTTTAAGGCAAAAGGCACCATACAAATGATACAGAGGTTTCAGATTTGTATTTTATCTTTTAAAGGTTTTATTCATTTATTTTTAGGGAGACAGGACAGGAAGGAGAAAGGGAGAGAAACATTAATGAGGGGTTGCCTCTTGTGCGACCCCTACTGGTGACCTGGCCTGCAACCCAAGCATGTGCCCTGACTGGGACAGTGACTCTTTGGTTTGCAGTCCGGTGCTCAATCCACGGAGCCACATCAGCCAGGGCCAGATTTGTATATTAGACAAGAAAATGCTCATGTAACAAAACAGCAAGAAGGCAGCAAATATAATTATGACATTTAGCATCCTTTGCCAATGCTATTTTATCATAAAGGAGGTTTATGAAACCCTAACTGTAACTGTTCATAAAGTTAATATACAAGGAAATATAACCATCAAATATACATAGAGTCTCAAATTAACCAGAACGGTCTCAGTTTAAATGTTCTATTCTGTTATACGATATAACGTGACATGTTTCTTAGATATTTTCACTTCATTATCAGCAGTAGTTACATTCAATAAGTTAAAACAAATTTTGGTAAACCTCTACTTTGTACTTCCAGCGTCTGCACAGTCCCATCTAGCAGTATGTGAGTGACAGGTATGTACAGTAGATGGAGTTTTGTCTTTAACCCATGGTGAAATCCCAAAGGTGACTAGCAGTTTCGCTTTTCCTGGCTCTTTCTAGAGGCAAGATACTGAACACATCTATCTATGGACAGCCATAAAAGTGCTCATAAAGTGCATACTGGGAGGAGCTCATTGGGACAGCTACCTCCTTTCCATCCAGCTGGTGAGGTAAAAATATTACTTGATGCTGTGCTCCTGCCAGCCACGTGATGTACCATCCAGACAGCAACAGCCTATACATTGCATAAAGTCTTTAGGATTCCAGTCGCCAGGGTCAGTGGGAAGCACAGAAAATTATAGGTCAGGTATATCCAAAATATAAATCGGAAATAGAAGCTAAGCAGTACTGGCAGAAAGAGTAGTCTGAACTTGTCCGTCATTGTATGGACTAATATTACAATGGAATACTCATGAAATTTTTTGGTAACTTTTTGGCAATAAAACCTTGCTTTCGCAGTGAGTTAAAAAAATGCATGCTTACGAACAAATTAAATTCTGAACTCTGTGTCTCAAGAACATTGATGTTGGTTTCCACTTTTGTCTAGGATATGGAAAGTTGAAAAAAAAATGATGCTCATTTCCAAACAAAAGAAAAAGCAGACAAACTACATAAGCACCACTTTTTCTTGAACCCAGAGGCTGCAAGAAAATTAAGTAGCCTTAAATTTTAAAAAAGGCATCCCCCCACACCAAGGACAAAGAGGACGCCATCACCAGCTCATGTATGGCAGAACACAGAAGGAAATGACACTGGGAGACATACTGGCAGGTGAGAAGAAATCAGCTAAGAAATGTCTACAAATTGCTAACTACTGAGTGGAGGCTACTAGGAGGGTGCAGATCATAGAGCCCCCGGGAGCCACAGTCCCACTGGAGTTTATACCCACTTGCAGGCTCCTCTTCAGCATCACACTACGGGGAGTCCATGAAGCAGAATACAGGTGACTTGCAAGTAGACATGTATAGCAAATCACTAAACAGACATTTTTAAGTTAAAAATAAGATGTCAAGAGTGATAAGATGAAATATAAAAAATAAGATGGAACTGTCTGCTACAAGGCAGACAGAAAAAAAGAGGAAAACAACAGATGGAACACATAGAAAATAACCAGCAAGATGATAGATTTTACTCAACCAAGGTCATGAATGTCAACACTTATTATCCATATGCAGCATGGGAGCCACAGTGATGTAACTGATCACATGAAACACACACACACACACACACACACACACACATACACGCGGGGATGCTGAGAGAACTCTTTGCCTTCCTGAACTAGAAGCATGTTCTCCCCAGGCAGGAGCGCTGCGGGCATGATTGTCAGAGGTCCCCAAATACACAGTCCATCCTAGGCATGTCCCAGTGAAGCTTGTAGCCAATGAGCCACACCTTCAAATGCAGCAAGTCCAACAGGTCTTCAACACACAAACATGAGCAGAAAGTCCAGGTTTAACTGCAACCCAAGGAAAAGCTCACACATGAAATATAAGTTAAAAAGGCAAAGAATATTTTGGAGGAGCTAGAAATTGTGCAGTTAAAAAAAAAAATGCCCGGAATGAGAAAGTATCCATACTCACAAAGTAAGACAGGATAGTATTTAAGAGGGCATGAAACTGGAAAATGGGAGAGAAAAGAGTAAATGATGACAACCACAAAGTCCAGCATGTTCAAAATAATAAGAAGAAAGAAATAAAACAAAAGGGCAGCACAGAAAAGGGTAAGGCACAGAAACAACCGAATAATTTTTTTCAAACTGCAGTAATAAAGAACATGAGTTTCCAAATTAAAAATTCTTTTGAAGTAAAGAAGTTAACAGAGGAAAGTACAATTAGCAGAAAAAACAAGAAGTATTATAAAGAAGCAGAAAACCAAATCAGCTGAAACTTCTTAATAGCAGCAATAAAAATCAGAAAAACAATGAAATGGTTTCTTAATAATTTCAAAGGTAATTATTGTCAACATGAAACTATCCCCCCAGAAAAGCTATATATATTATTTTTGAGGATGGAATACAGATTTTTACAAACATTGAAGATCTCAACAGATTTTAAATTTCTGTAGGCTCATTTTTTTATTTTTAGTTTTTTAATTGCCCTGGGGGATCAGTTTTAGGTTCATAGCATAACTTGGGCAGAAGGTACAGATATTTCCTATATACTCCTACCCCCACCTACTCACAGCCTCACCCACTGCAAAAACCCTACACCAGAGTGGTACCTCTATTAAAATCAATGAACCTACACCACCAAATCATTATCACCCAAAGTCCACAGTTTACATTAAGATTCACTCTTAGTGTTTCACATCCTATGGTTTTGTTTTCCATTTCACTGATTTCTCCTCCAACTTTTATTACTTCTTTTCACTTGCTGACTTTAAAATTAATTTGTTCTTTTTCTAATTTCCTAAAAAATAACATTAGATTATTGGTTATATCTTTCTTCTTTTCTAATATATACATTCAATGCTATATAATTCCATTTAAGTATTGCTTTTGCTATATCCCAAAATTGCAATAAGTTGTGTTTTCAATTGCATTAATTGAAAATAGCTTTTTTTAAAGATTTAATTTATTTATTTTTAGAGAGAGGAAGGGAGAAAGAGAGGGCCAGAAACATCAATGTGTGGTTGCATCTCACATACCCCCTGCTGGGGACCTGGCCCACAACCCAGGAATGTGCCCTGACTGGGAATGGAACTGGCAACCTTTTGTTTGGCAGGCTGGCTCTCAATCCACTAAAGCCACACCAGCCAGGGCTGAAAATACTTTTCAATTTTCTCTTGAGATGTATTCTTTGATCAATGTGTTATTTAGAATTGCAATATTTAATTTCCAAGTATTTGGGGATTTTCCATCTAGCTTCCTATCATTGATTTCTAGTTAAAGTCCATTATGGTCTGAGCAGACATTTGTGTGATTTCTGTAGGTCTGAATTTGTTAAGGTAGGTTTTATGGTCTAGAATGTGATCTATCTTGGTTAAGTTCCATTTGAAATTACAAAGAATGTGTATTCCAGCAATGTTGGACAAAGTAATAGATAAATGTCAATTATGTCCAGTTGATTGATGGTATTTTTGAGTTTAATTACGTCCTTACTGATCTTCTGCCTGCTGGATTTGTCTATTTCTAATAGTGGGGAGTTAAAATCTCCAACTATAATAGCAAATTCATCCATTTCTCCTTGCAGTTCTACTGAGTTTGCCTCATGTATTTGAAGTTTTGTTGTTAGGCACATAAATGTTAAGGATTTTCGTGTTTTTGATAGAATTGATTCTTTTATGTAATATCCCTCTTTCTCCCTGATAACTAATTTCTCTGAAGCCTACTTTGTCTAAAATAATATAACCACTTCTGATATCTTTTGATTAGTGGTATCAAAGTGCATCTTCCTGATACCCTTTAATTTTAATCCATATGTATTTCTGTTGAAAATGGATTTCCTATAGATAGCACATATTTGGGTCT